AGCATTAAAAACATAAAATCTGCTCGATTGTAAAACGAAAAATTAAACTTGATCATCATAAATCATTATATAGGATATATACATTTTAAAAACATTTGCATATTAAAGCTTTCTAATTTAATATTTAAGTGTAAATAGCATTTAAGTTTAAATTTTAAAATATAAATTTTTGCTATTTATTTGGGCAATCCAAAATTAACTTCTCTAAAGACGCTTGAAGACAGATTGGCTTACTATAGTATCTATTGATAATTGATCCTGACCCAAGAGAAATTTCCGTTTCCAGTAGCCTAAGTATCGAATAGAAATCAATCAACATAAACAGTTATTGACGTCACCGATTATTACATTCTATCGAAATCAATAAACTTTTGTCATTTCTATTTTTACTATATATACCGGCTATGAATCAGCGTAAGTTAAACCGCATTGGCAAATAATAACAAAGAATACAAACTTAAAAGTTTGAAGTTTAGATTTTATTTCTGTTCTGTCTCGTCTGCATTATTGTCTACAAGAAAAGACTTTATAATCATTAAAAAATCTTTAATAAAAATATCACTTAGGTGATACCAAAAATTTATAGCGTAGTTACTTAATCATTATGTTAATTTTCGGCTGCTTATTAAGACGAACCTTTATTTAATTATTTTGTATTAAAAGAAAAGTTTATTATTATTTAATATATAACCAAGCAAAGAGATTGCTTTAAATAATGAAATAAATACATCAAAGAACAAGATAAGAGAATATTCTCAATTAAATTAGACTGTTGTTAAAGTTGTGAATGCAAGGTGATTGAACCTTATCCTTTGAGAAAGCTTTTTGGAATCTAAATGGAGTCAAAAATAAGTTCTATTAGTCTCGTCAAAATGGTGCCTGTCGAACACGGATTTTTCATGTTCTGTCTATAAAGTTCTGTCTAAAATATTCCATTCGAATAAAGGAGAGAAATTCTATTTTTCTTGAAAATTTCTTCGACTTCCTGTTTTTATTTGAATAAATGAAAACAGAATACCGAACGATTGAACTTATTTTATATTCTAGAAACGAACTTTAATATATATACAATGCTTCATTTTTGTAATTAGAGTGTTTTTGTAAACCTATTCATAGTTCTAGATAAAAGTATTCGACGAATTTATCGATTGCAATAAATAGTTGAAACAATTTTCGATTTAAGTTACACAGTTTTACTTGAGGCATTCGAGTAAATTCCACGTTATTCCTGAGACCATAAAATACATAATAAAGGCATTAGTAATTGGTTGATATATTTGAAAGGCCAATATTCACAAATGAAGGAAAATTATCGAATTTGGCTTTGTTCCAGTTTGTGGCATGCCACAAAAATTCGATAATTGCATTTTTTTCAAATTATTTCTATATATACATATCGTAGGCCTATATACAGTAGATATTTTGATAATTATTGGATATAAACTGTGGTGTTTTTTATATTATATATATATATAGACTATATATACACAGTATATCTAACTTTTACAACAAACTACTACCATGATAGTGATATTTTTGACCTTATTAAAATTTATTATTAGAGACAGACAGATCTCTAGTTATTAAATCGCGTAGGCATGATTCCAATTTTTAAAAATTTTCTCGCCGATTAATATCGTGTAATGTTGGGTAAGAAGACGGGAAAAACTAAATAGAAATAACATTAGCGAGGACGAAATGCCATCTGTTAAAATAATTCAATGTAACAGACTTTATAACGTTTGTAATTACTTTTTGTTTAAATCTTCCAGAATAAAATCCATTTTCTTTATAATTATTTTTCAGGATACGAATCGCAGTCAAATGCGTATTCGTATTGAACAAAATTTTATTTGCTATAGGTTTTAAGAACTGAAGTAACGTAGGAAAAATCAATATTGAATTTATTTTTGTTATTAATGTTTTTAAAATTCTGTTACATATTTTATTTAATTAGATAAATGAAATAATAATAATAATGTTTTATTTTAGATGAATATATTAAATTACTTCCCTGTTTTGTTTTTCAGTTATTACTTTTATAAATCTAATATACTGTATTTGTTAAAAAGCATAACAAATCGTAAAAGTTAACATGTTTTTCTTCGAATACATGCATATTTATAATTGTTTCTTTACATATAGGCCTACTGTATACTCACAGAAGTATATGCTCCATAATATACAGCATGTCTTCTAATTTAAATTTTAATTAATTTAAATAATGAAAAAAAGCTTTAATTAAAAATATATACCAGCATAGGCCTATACAGTATGTACACATATTGTATAATAATACATATTGTATAAACCAATAAGTGTATAAATATATGTTAACACTTTTTAAAGAAGAAAACGCGCCCGGAAAGTTAGTAGCCAGAAAAAATAAAAACAAAATGCAAGTATAAAGACATCCATTATTTTGCCTTGGAAGATTCTAGAGATACAAATATAGCAGATTTCAATAGCGGAATTTTGTTGAATTATCGCTTCACTACGAAGCTTTATAATCAAGGAAACATCACTAGGAAAGTATATCCTTTACATCGAAGAATATTTCAATATTTATCTATCGACTAAGTCAAACATTAAACGGATCGACTCAAAATATCCGCTGCATATTTCAAAAACTGAAGAAATCCGACTTAAATTCAAATATTTATATACTTATACTTTCGTTTGATTAATTTCATTTTAATTAATTAATTTTTAACTTTAACGAGGGGAAAAAAAACCTAAGTAAAAATTGTAATTTTACAGCAAAATTAAATCTACATAGATTGGAAGTTTTATTTTCTCGAAGTTAAATATTAGATTTACAGTACACGAAATATAATGAAATTAATTTTATGAGATTAAATCTCATAAGTAAAGTTTTAATTTAGAAAGTTTAGAATGCTTCAAAGCGTTTTCATTAAAAATAGTCAAGTATAGAGTACCCCTTTCAGATACAGCCTACATACTGTAGATATTATTTAATTATTTTAGTTAATCGTATCAAAAATGAACAAGTATTTAGCATATCGACGTAAAACTTGTAGCATCTTGGGAGTAATATCGGGTACTATTCATTCTTATAACAGAAATTCCAGAGCACAAATATTTTACAATGTTACTATTTCGATCGAGTTTTATTGAAAGACCTTACATTATCAAACTATTTTAATGCGTTTTCATACTAGAAATATTTTTCTAAAAAATTAATTATTCAGTTTATCGTACAATAATTTATTCATCACATACATTTAATAATAGCTTATGTAATTATATAAACTATATATTAGAAAAGAAATTCTACGATAAACATCATTTCCAACTAATTTGATTTGCTTGTAATTTTACGCGAGATCGACACTAATTTGGTATAAGTTTTAAACCTTATTAAAGTCATTATCAACTCATCTAAAAGATAACTAGACATGTAAATTTTTAAAAAATAAACTATAATATCGAAAACATCGAATTTTCCCACTCCAAAATTGTTATTAGAGATTGTCGGAATTAATTTTAACAGTGAATAATTCAAAGCGAAAACCATAAGAGTAATCCCCTACTTTAGATTCTCATTTTTGATGTGTTTTATGCCTTACAACCCCAATATAAATCCATTAACAAACAATGGAGACGATAAAACGCTTACTAGAACAGGTTTTATGATGTCCGTCGTTAAAGCGTTAATTAAAATATTAAATGACTTTATAATACCCAATTAATATTGAATAAATATAAATAAAATATGGAGAATTTATGCGCACTAATTAAAAATTAAATTATATTTGAGATGAAACAAATCCTTAGAATCGAGAAAAAGTTTTATAGTTCACAAAATAGGCAATATTAAAAGAAATAATATAATAATTATATATAAATAAAAAAAAAGAACCAATACTAAAGTGTATGTTCAAATGGGAATTTATTAGACCGGTAGCATTTCGATTTTCCTTAAATAAGATCTATTGATAAAAATAAAAATAACGAAGAATTCTATAAAAGAATAAGTAACAAGGTTTGCTACTATTATGTTTTTATATCAGTAAGATTGAAACTCAAATGAGATAGCAAAATACAGTCTATTTATTTATCAACTACTCAAAAATTATAAAATAAAAAACCATATTTTCTGCTTACAAACTCGAGTCTATATTTCACAAACAAACAAGTATTAAAAACTAAAATCTTTTTTTAAAAAATACCTTAGAAAGTGTGATAGATCTAACAGGATTTTGATTTGTGATCGGTTAGATCTACTGAGTTCTAGAATACTTCCTAAAGTGGTTACAAGAAGGAAAAATCAATCATTTTTGTGTTGTTCTTTAAAATCTTCCAATTATGTTTTACGTACAGACAAAAACTTTTAGAGTATATCATCTCAAGGCATTAACAGTAATTTTATTTTTTATTTTTACATTTGTCCGAAGTCAGATAAAAGATAACTAAATTTATTTTTATACGTGAATAACTTCAAAAAAAGAAAAAAAAATCATTGCGTGCTTTATCGCGATAGTGCGGTATCTGAATTAAGGAAACCGGAGCAGTACGTATCGATTAGAAGTCGAAATCTGACTTTTAAACTTGTTAGGTATCGAAATTCGAACGACATTTAAAGTACTATTCAAATTTATTTACGAATTTATCATTCGTTCCTTTTATATAAAAAGTTTCATAAAATTAAGATTAAAAATTTAATAAGTCACAAGACCTTCAGAATGATTTGTCATTAAGGAAGTGCAGAAACTGTTATCACTTAACATTGGCAACCTAGAAATGAATTATCGAAAGTCTCTTTCCCGTTTCAACGACATAAAAAATGCATGTAAAGAATATTTTTCTGTGTTTTTTTTTGGAATATTTCCAAAAATCTTCGCAAGTAAAAAAATGAAACCAATAACGTAAAACGTTTTGATTCTTAAAACAAAATTGCCACATACATTATATTATTATTATTATAAAAATATCATTATATGAATCATAATTATATCTCATATAGAATTAAAATATATGACTAACTTATATAACGAATATTCACTTGGTAATATATTATCTAGTGGAATAATAATAGTAACAATAAAATAAAGGAAACTGTTTAATTTATGTAACACAAAAGCCACTTATGTGCTAAGATAATGGATAATTATATCAATTATAGAGCACTCATCTGTTTCCAGGAGACAAAAACAGCTCTTCTAATCGATATTATCGGATATATTGGTAAGGTGAGCTGGGAATTATATAGAATTGGTAGCGCATATTTAATGAACAAATTTCGACAAAATTTTCATAAATATTAATGCCTATCTCAATTCTCGTAACTATGGAAATGCCGAGAATAATCTCTCTCCCCATGGCGATAGTGGTTGCCTCCCCGTACAAAAATCGATGAAAGCAGCAGGCACCCCCGCACTTCTGTCGAACTATCAGTACGGTGTTGTTACTATCCAAGACTGGTTATAGATAGATTTGTGGAGGAGAATAGGTGGATTAATGTTTAAATCGAACGGAATTACCCGGCGAAAAATGCAGTCCGTCGTTCCGATATTCAATGCTAAGAGGGAAAGACGAACTCTATCCATTTTCGCCTAACATGGGAGTTAAATTACAACATACTGTATCCGTTCTTCTTAGAAGATCTGTTAGAAATGCGACACATATACTCTAATTTTAATAAGTTTATAGTATATTAATTATCGTATATATTTTTGGCTTTTTGTCACAATAACAATACGGTAATTTTCCTGTTAAATGGATCTGTTTCGAACATCATGAGTGGCTTCTTTAATTCTGCTCTTCAGAACCTTCGTCGTAAAGTTCCGGCTAATAAAGGTGAGTACAGTACATCTGATAAGAAAAATTATCAATTCACTTTTCACTTCCATATTGGTTTATGACAATACTTTGATGAGCCCATTTGATTCTTGATGTAATTAATAATACAATTTCTTGTATGATATTGATAGTTGTACTGTACAACATGACGTTATGGATTAATTATCAATTATATATTTTTATTGCTTGGGCTGTCATGTATGATGTACAATTTACATCAATGTTTTCTTATATACATGTAATACAGTATTATGTATGTACAGTATGTATGTATTTAACAAAGGCTGTGCACGTAGGATTTTTTGGGAGTTTAATCTTTTCCATTTGGCAATTCAAACAAAAAAAATGCTACTATGTTAATAAAACAGTATATTATGTATAATTTGTATTTGTAATGTTCCTTCTTAGTCAATTGTATTCTGTTACTCTATATACCTATATTGTAAAAATTAATAAACTATGTTATAAATATATATAAAGCCAACCCTTTTAAAAATGCTATGCAACCAGCCTGTATTTAATGAAAATGAAAAAATTCAGCAATATGCAATATGAAAAAAATGTAAAGAATTATCATTTTCTATAATTGATTTTATTTCATTATAAGTAATTTCTGTTACCTTGATTTTCCTCAGGTGTTGATACCAGGATGAAGTTCAGTATTCAACCATTTCCAGGGGACAGTGGATTCTGTCAATGGCATGATGCAATGAAAATGGTTGCTCGGTTACCTGGAGGCATCCCACCAGAATTTAGAAAAAGAGTAAGTTTATATTTTATAATATTGACAAGTTTTTGATAAAAAAATTTGTTACGCAAACAATCAAAATATACAAAATTAATACATTTTTTAGAGTACTTCAAAATTAATTTTTAAAATTTATAAGAACTGATTATATATAAAGTAAATTATTGATGAAATTATCATAGTATTAATATAAATATCAATACATGAAAAATTGAATTGATAAAACTAATATAATTCAACATCATTTTTTAATAATACCGATTTCAAAACATAATTTATAGTCTTACTATGAATTACTGACATTTGTAATTAATAATAAATATGGATTGCATCAATAGTAATCGTTTTATGATAATTTATATTCATCTTTAAATAAAATTATTATTTTATTTATTGTATTACTACAAATGAGCCCAGCGTTGCTCAGGCAAATGATTTGGATGATTTGGTAAATATTGTACATTTGGAAATTAAGTTACTACTATCGAAAACAAAAAATTGCATCTAAAATAGTACAGAAGAAGCCGTTATTCAGGTTAATCCTTAATCCTCTCCCTCTCCCCTCCACAGGGGAATTTCCAAAAATCCTTTCTTAGTGTGCAGTTTCATGACATACCCTAACTATGTATCAAATTTCTCCTCTTTAGGTTCAGTGGTTTCCTCTGGACAATGATGAATCAGTCAGGATATGTAATTATATATATACAGTATATAGATTATATTGAAATATATTTTTGTCTGCATAAATAGATACTTTTGTACAGTACCTTATATGAAAAGTAATAAATATATTAGATAACTAAATTATTAATAAATATCCATCTTATTTGTGAAGAAATTAGTTATTTAAAACAAAATGTACTTGAATAATTATTAACCAGTTTAAAAACATAATTTTGTTAACAAATTAAAAAATCTTTGATAAAAGTACATTCAATTCAAAAGTCAAAATTGCTCTTATAATTACAGTCGATTCCCCTATAAGATCATTGATTTTTCCGTTTTATCTGAATTACATGTTGTACGAGTCACTTAGATTTTACAAATATGTGAGCCGTTCACAGCCCGGCACACGTATTTGTAAAATCTAAGTGACTCGTACAACATGTAATTCAGATAAAACGGAAAAATCAATGATCTTATAGGGGGATCGACTGTATAATAAATCTATATCCGTTATAATGTAAATGTCAATTTAAAACTAAAATATTTATATATTTCAGTTTTAATTAAGTCATCATCTTTACTTTAGGTACATCTCTATCAAATACTTTATTAATTAGGTCACCATCTCTAATTTTGAGAATAATAGATTTCCAGACACCTTTGATGATTTGTCAGGAACGATTATAATTAATATTGATTAGAGATTTCACAAGGTTTAAGATATTTGCATATCAATAGAGCTAAGAATATCTAATTCATAAATATCCTTATTTTATGATAAACTACATTAAGGTATGATTAAAATTGTATTATATTTTTTTTATTCAACACATTTTATCTCTACAATAAAAAATTTAAATTTTATATGTTTTATTCATAAAATATATAAAATCTAAACTGTTTATGCAGAGATAAAAATCATTAGTGCTCTATGTTTGATTTTTTTCAATGGTACTTATTTACAATATATTTTTGATTTGAGTTCAAAACTTTGTAAATTATATAATTTTGAAAAGAATTAAATGAAGATCAATTATAAATAAAATGAATATCTATTCATTACTTTGCAAATAGATATTCATTTTATAAGCAATAAAAAATTTTTATAGTTCATAACAACAAACAAGAACTTTGAATGCTAAATAAGTATAATGTGAAAAAAATTAAACTATAAAGTTATATGTAAGGCTGAGTCAATTCAGCATTAAAAATAGCATATTATGGTAATTTATCGTTTAAATTATAAGAAAAATGCTCATTGTTTATAGAAAAGAATGAACCAAAAGTAAAAAAACAAATATCTTAAATATAACAATGTAATTTCAAGTGTTTTAGAGACATTAATTTAAATTTAAAAAATTACTATTTCTTGACAATTATATTGAATATTAAAAGAAAATTAATTTTTTTAATTGACAAAAAAATTAAACAGAATAATGAAATCTTTATTTTGATAGAAGTTTTAACAATATAACAAAATCTTTATAATATTCTATTAATCTTAATCTTTAAAAATTAAGTGTAGCTTGTGTGACTGACTTGCTTGAAAACAAACAAACAACTGACTTGAAGAGAGGTTCATAGTATAGCTCAAAATAATAATAATAATAATGACATGAACTTCAGAAATAAAATGAACGACTAAAGCAATTAACAAGCTTTAATCAATACCAGCAAAAACTCAAATACAAAAGATAACCAGTTTAACACACACAGGGATACTTGTACTGTACAACTAGCTTGTTTTGATATACAATTTTATCATGTTCTTCAACACATGTTTACTTGCACTCTGATGATGAGTTAGTAATAATAATTATTACTAACTGATCATCAGAGTGCAATGCAGACAAGTCAACAATAATTGTTTACTTGTCTGCTGAATTTGTCATGATTCTTCTTTCTCTCTTGTCTTGTTTTCTCCCAAACATTTTTGTCCAACAACCTTTGCTTTGTTTCACACACACTGAACAAAGCTTCTCCCATCTTGATTGTTATCCTAAACCCATTAATCCTATTAACTCCACAAATACCAAAGGGCTAATAAACTGAAGGGATAAAGGGGAACAAACATGTGGTGCCTAAGCCACAATGTCTTTCTGTTTCTAACACATTCATAATATAAATTTGTTAATTTGTTTTTACTACAGAGAATGTCTAAATGAGATAAATTCACTACACAAATGAATAAAATCATATTGAGCAATGTGGAATAAATGAAATAGTGATGAAATAATTGATTCATGGTTAAATTAAATGGTTTATGTTTTTTTTTCCATAAACGGACATGTTTATAAATAAGTAATAATTAGTAATTATTATAAATTAATAATTATTTTGATGTCTAAATATACAGGATGTCTCCTAAAAAGTGATCTAGGCTACTAGCTCAGAAATAACTGTCAGATTCATATCGACAATGATTGCTTTAATACATAATTGAAGGTAGACTATTCACTGGTGCATCAGTGAATTTTCCCTACTCCCAAAAAAGAGGTAGTAAAATTACCTCAGCTCCTATTGTAGATAGAACTACAGTTCAAATTGTAAAATTATAGAGCAGATCACAATCAATGCATTCCACATTTTCAATTAAAAAAATAAAGAGGTGTGCCAAATACTCTTGAAAATTTGAAAGGTGTAAATTTGGCTTCCCTGTAGTACTGAGATACTTTGTAAGTGTTTGCTTCTCAAGCTCTAAGTAGTTTGTGATATATACAACTGTCAGTGAAGAATACATTTTGGTTTTATTAAAGATCTTACAAGACAGAGAGAATACTGTAATTTGGAACTTAGCACTTTATTGCACCCAGAGAAGGTAAAGCAAACAAAAAAGAATAAAACAATTTTTGCAAATCAAAAACATTCATCTAAACAAAAATTCACTGTTCATTTGATTTTTTTATTGACTTTGTAGTTAGTTTTTTAAAAGTTCATTTTTTGAATAAAAAATTTGAAAAAAATGACCTGATCTCTTATATGATCTAATCTGATTCAGTCTCTCTTGTCTTTTAAATAAAACATATATTAATTAGATTCTTTCTGGGCTTAACATATGAGGTCTGTTCAAAAATAATCAAACTTTATTTTTTTTAAATTAATTTTTATTTTTCAAGTTACAGATTATTGGTCCTTGTCTCCTTCAAAGTACTCCTGCCTATTCATACACTTATCCCAGCAGTGTTTCCACTTGCAAAGTAGTCCTGGAAAGCTTGTTTCAGACTGTCCTTCAATGCTTGTGACAAATTTGTTTTAATGTCATCAATTGTGTCAAAACAGTATCTTTTCAGCACTGATTTTAATTTTGGAAACAAAAAAAAAAAATCATAAGGAGCCAGATCTGGTGAGAAGGGAGGTTAGGGAGGACAGTCATTTGATTTTTGGCACAAAAGTGGCAAATTGATAAGGTTGAGTAATCAGGCACGTTGTCATGGTGAAGAAACCATGAGTTGTCTTGCCACAACTCTGGTTTCTTTTTGAGAATTTTTTCACACAATTGTTTCAAAACATCTTAGTACTGATGGTTGACTGACCTTGAGACAAAAATTCAAAGTGTACAACTCTGATTTTCTGAATATGAGTGTCATCAGTTGAGGTTGAAGGCTTTTCTGGTCGAGGGTCACTTTCAACTAGTTGACAACCACTTTTGAATCAGGTAAACCATTTGTAACACTGCATATGACCTAGAGTATTACCTCCATAAGCTTGATTCAAAAATTGAAATGTTTTCATAAAAGTTTTCCTGTAAACTTCATGTTGCATCATTGCTCCCATAAATCGCTCATTGCAAAAATTGCCACCTACAACACTGAAACACCTTTCACCCAAAAAGCAATAATGCAGGAGAAAAACAAGATATGAAGAATCCGAAAAAAAAAAGCTTACTTGGTAGGTTATCATGAACATAGTGTTGTCAATTTCACGACACTAGGACACTCTGTTTTTATCCAATTCAAAAAGTTTGGTTATTTTTTGAACAGACTTCATATCTTGGTTTCACTACTGGGCCACCCCAAAAAATTTCTGAGTAATTTTTGACTGTCTGGATTTGTTCCTGGATTCCTCTAAACTCAGGAACAAATCCAGTCAGTCTGCATTAGAGAGCAGGTAGATTTTAACTGCCTCTGCCATCTGGCTGGTGATATACACACACACATATATGACCCTAAATTGATATATATACCTGGGCCAAAATTTGTTACCAATGTGATAAATATGCCAATAACATTATATTATTATTAATTATATGCATCACCTGTTAACAGTCTATGATTAGTTATATCAATAATAAAGTTGTTATATCAATAATAAATATAGTGAAATGCATTTCAAACCTAGCTCTCTTATAA